AAGGTGTGATGGACAAATGTGCGGAGGCGGATGCAACTCAGATCCAGAAGTGCAGAGTAAGAACTTTCCATCTACATTCATACTACAATATAAACCTATTTAGAAAAAGTTTGGCAATAATACACAGAACGCTTCATTAAGTTACAATTACCGTTTAAAGCGCCTGGTCCACAGTAGGTCAGAATGTTTTTGATGATTTTTATTTTAAATCTCTGGGTTTCTATTGCAAATCATATAGATGTAGGTGTTTGCTACATGATATTAGTACTGTTAGGTGTGCACCCTGTACCACACTTAGAAGGATCTTGCATCATCCTGGCTGAGAATCACTGGCCTAGATGCTTGTTGTGTTATACATTTATCAGTGGTTTTTACCCACCTCTGAGCCTTATATATCTAAAGTCCTGGGCCAGATCATTCAGAAGTATTACCTGCAAGGAGAATCTTCTCTGCAAATTTACAGTAAAGTGTGCAGGGTTGGCTCCTTTTCATTTAAGTCCTGTGGAAAAGCTGTCAGAGTTATTGTGGAAAACCTGTTAGTCTGGCATACCAGAGACCACCTTCAGAATTGCTGCCTAGAAGGCCAGGAGCAACCACAGCATGGAACCACATCGCATCCACAAATGTCTAAGAGACTGGCCCCAGAGGGTGGAGGGCCTGGAGAGACCTGGAAAGAAAGATGGCAGTCTGGCCAGGCAAACCGCCCAGGTCCCTTGGACACAAGGTACCATTCTGGTTTTTATTCTTGATAAACAGATCTAAAAAGTAACTTGAGAGACGTGATTCTCAACCAGGATATCGGGGCATTCAGGTGTGCCACCAGAACTATTAAAGGATGGTGTGAGGAAATAAATGAGGTGCTAGGAGACAAGCAGATAAACACAGGCTCAAGCTTGTCCTTGCCTGGACAATCCCCCATCCCCACTGCCAGACCCCTCTGCAAGGAAGTATGCACTGTAATCTGCAGGGATTCTGGTTTTCTCTGTTTAATAAAAATCCCAAATTATCTGATTTTAAAATCCCCAAATTCATATTTTTCCATTATTTAAAATAAAAGCACACTCTCGTGCTCTCTCTTAGTTGAACACAATGTTTTATTGATATATTTACAATTTTAAAGCAATTTGGATGTCTACCAGTGCGTCAATCATTATAATAAAATGAATTATGAACAATTCTATATTTTTGGCATTTCATTTTGGTTTTTTATCATGGAAAATGGGAGCTTCCCCCTTCACTCACTAGAACATGGGTCCAGCTGTGGCTGTCCCCCTATTGCTTTGTGATGCTGAGCAGTGCTGATATGCTGCTCCTTGCAGGCTGGAACTCTGTTAGTCTACAAAGGGAGACCCAAGGTTTCCTGGATTTTCTCCTTTAAAGGAGAAAGTCTGCATTTTGCCACAGCTTTTCATGGGAAATGGAAAACCCAGATCCCTGGTAATCTGTAAATTAGTTTTTTAAATGGAGTGCTACTCAATTCACAAATGTTATGGTGGGGTGCCTTGAGTCCAAACAGGTTGAGAAACACTGCTCTAGAGTCTTACAAGATGGGTAAAAGAAGTGTGAGGTGGGAACTGTATGAAATGATCATACTGATTTCCTATCCATTGAAAAGGTAAACATCACTTCTTTGGTCTACTTTGCATAGAAACTAAGGTGCAGGCTGGTCGGTACCTTTAAAGAAACCCCAGCATGATGCAAATGTCACTCCTTTACCAGTTCAACAGTACTGAAGTCCTCAGTTGGGGACACTGCTTTATTTATTATTACATAGTACAGACACACTGCATTTTCTGGTACTATGAAGCATCTATAAAAGATATAGGAGACTGCTGTAATTTATTGACTATATGTCCACTTCTTTGCTTGCTACTATATTTTCTTATATAATCACTGGGAGTCGCATCTTCAGGAAAGGGGGTAACAGCTTCAGATTGTCTCATGAACTGCTACTTAAATGGAAAGGGCAGGTACCATTTCCTTCTGAAGTTCACTTGAGACCCTACCCAAAGCATGTGCTTGTCTGGATCTACCTGAGAAACTTCCCAGTCTTGTAACCAAATGAAGAAATTCAGAGTAGATAGAAAACCTCAGCTACTATGGACAAGAGATAAGGGCTGTAGGGAAGCAGATTGGGCCTCAGTTCACAGAAGTGGGGGTGTACCAGTAGCCTCAGGACCATATAAGCCAAGGGTGGGTAATTATTTTGGGCAGAGGGCTGCTTACTGAGTTTTGGCAAGTCATTGAGGGCCAGATGACAGGCAGCCCAGGGCAGATTAATATTAATTTTCTAAATTTTTTAGGGGCCCTGCTGGCCAGATAGAATCGTCTGGTGGACCACATCTGGCCCCCGGGCTGCATTTTGCCCACCCCTGAATAAGCTCTTTGGTTTGTACTTAAAGCCCCTTTCCCTTCACTTACTTGGCTGCTACTGCTACTGCTCTTTTTCATTTACTAGTCATAGTCTGGTCATAGCTCCTGATAGGAAGATAGCAGGCAGTGTCCTCAGACTTACCAAGTGCTAACAGTTGGCACAGAGTGTAGTAAAGAACCCAGTGACAAGGGGGAATAGTAGAATTACCTCTCTGTGAGGTTTTAGGCCTCAGACCATAATCAGGATGGGGTGAGTTCAAAGAGAAACTAAGAGGAGGGGTTAGAGATGCAGGTTACCTTGTGCCATGACAGTATGTATTGTATAATGTTATCACTATTGTGTCATGTTACAGTGTGCATCTGGTGCTCTTCTGATATGGGGGGGGCGAAAAAGGAGGCAACAAGAGGAACAAGTAATCTTTTTTGCTGTAAAACCTCTGGCCAGCCTGTGCATTGGCATCTGACTCAAGGGCTGTCCCCTAGGATTTCTGTTTCTTGCATTCATCTAAAACTAAAGGTAGAATACGCTGAATGTATGGCTTGGTTGGGTATGGTGGGAGAAGTGAATTGGGAGGAGGGATTTAAATGAGGCTCCATGGGAGTCATTTTCCTGAGCAGGGGAGTAGACAAACTGTAAATTATGCTGGTAGCTGTTGGCTCTGGCATCTACACACAACTGCAAATTTGAGATAGGGAGAGCAGTTTAAATAACAAGCAGCTGTCTCCAGAGATTGCTTTTCCATTAGTGAAGGAGGCAGATATTGATTTTTGACCTATTTCTGGCAATCGGAAAGGAAAAATATTCCATTATTTGGGACACTGGAAGTTGTTGCTTCTATGGCCTCCCTGCAATCTGTGATTTTCCACTGTGGTTTGAATGTGCGTGACTGCAGCTGAAGGGAGGCTTCTCTGCTACTGCAATAAATCAGCACTTTAGAAAGCAGTGTGCTTCCCTCCTCAGCATGGAGCATTACTACAGCATAGGCATGCCAACACTGCTTAGAACTGGACAGGAGCATTGTAGGAGCAAAAGATATATAGATTTGAAAACATAAAAGGCCTTTTCCAGAATTCCTTATTCAGGCAAAATACCCGCAAACTTAAATTGGCTTCTCTGCCTGAATAAGAAGTGGGGGAGCAGAGTTTTTATTGTCTTTCTCCTTTTACAGTTAAATAAGGTACCCAGGACCAGGAGGGGGAGTTGTTGACAAGTGGTGACATGAATTAAGGAAAGATGGAAGACGGATGGCTGATCCTCTGGGGTGCTGAGCACCCGCTAACACAACCTGAAAGCAGCTAGAAGGAAGCTGTCTGATACCTAGAACTTCTGCTGAACTGAAGTGTTGAGCATTATTTGGATAACTGAAGTAATGTTGTTTTCCGTTGTAGGGTTGCAGCATCTACTCAATTCTCAGTTCTTGGTGGCTCCTTTTTTGCAGCTAGGCAGACTTTCAGCCTAGGTTGTTTGCATTGTACCGACCTTGCAGCACATGGTCAAATTACTAAAAACTGCTGGTAAAAACTAAAACTATCCATCTTCCATCTTAATTCATGGCCACAGCTGGACAGGTGGCAGGGTTCCTCTGTGCAGACCTACCCTTAGCAGCATCTTGCTCCAGGATGTACAATGCTCCTTTTCAGTGTCCATTGCTTTATAAGAACGTAGGAATTGCCATTGACTGGGTCAGACCATAGGTCCATCTTGCCCAGTATGACAAGCCTTTTCGCCTCAAATTTTTGTTTCAGAAACCCTTCTTACCTGGCAGGGAAGAGACCGTGATTGGTGATACCCTGACCAGGGAAAAGCTCTTGGGGACATCTCTGTGATTGCCTGCTAAAGACATGGGTATTTCCAACTATGTATTGCAGAGTTCACCTGATGAGAAATGAGTATGATCAAGTATTACTGACTGAGGTTTTTAAGACTGGGGTAGACTAAAGCCCCTGGCTAGGATGAAACAGTTGGGGATGGTCCTGCTTTGAGCAGGGGGTGGACTAGACCAGAGGTTCCCAAAGGGGTACACGTACCCCTGGCGATCGGCAGGACATCTCTGGTGAGTGTGCAGGAGAAACTGCGTAATGGTGGATTTAATGTTCACTATAATCATTGGCATTTCAGGGGGTGAAGTATAACACGTATGCTGGTAGGGAGCTGGTCAATCTGGAACGGGGGACGCACCAAAGAAAAAGCTTGGGAGCCTCTAGTCTAGACCCGGAGTCCCTTCCCAGCCCTGACTTTCTATGATGATTTGGCATTTTAACTGGGCACCTAGACCTGACAGTCGGGGCTCGGAAGGGCTGTCTATTATTATTTGCCCATTGAATTGGCAAGTCGACATTTGGGAATTTGGTACCGAATCGGCTTCGGGTGCAGGTGGCGATACACGTGTGGCGTGGGGGGAAGCAGAAAGGGGCGGGGCGGGGCGGGGCACGAGCGGGTGTTGGTCCGAGGACGCAGATGGAAAAAGGGCCAGGGCTG